CACAAGGGCATGGCCTTATGGTAACTCTTTTTTTAACAGCAGAGCAATGGTGCATTCTATACAACGGGTCCTAAACTACGCAACAAAATTTTCGCTATCTGCACACAAGGTTGTAATTATATTATGAAGAAAGTCACTGTGTATAATACAAGCCTGAGCACAAAAAATATAGTCTATACTAGAGCTCTACACCGAAGCGAAGCGAAGCTATTAAAGATTCTTTAAGCAGAGAAACTTTCATAAGTATGTAGTGTTATGTGACGAATTTAGTAAAGATCTGGGTTGCTTATTACAAAAACGGCTGGATGAAAGCACAATTAATTATTGTTCGCCAGGTGTCACAATGCATCAATTAATGAAGAAACTATTAACTCTTGAACTTGACAAAAATATAAGTTTAATTATTTTAATTGGTAATAGAGGTAATATTAACAAAAATGACATTATGACCTACTATAACTCTTTGTGTTCTTTAAATGTAAATAGAATAGTTATGTATACATTTCCATATAGTAAGAGTCTATGAAATGAAGAAAATAATATTAGGTACAGGCTAAATTAGACATTAAGTACCATGTCTCAGTATAGTGGTCAAAAAGTACATTTAATAGATATAAATAAATTAATATATAATTTTAAAATGACAAGATATAAACATTATCTTTCATATTACAATAAGAGACAAATAGCTTTTTCGCTATTATTTTAATTTACACACATAGCCAAAAACTTGGCTATCACTACTGCTTCTATTGAGCAGCATAATTATGTGGAGCAGAATTTGGAATTTATTCCAAATACTGACATTAATTGTAATTTAAATTAGTTCGTAAGACAACAGAGGAGCTCTCTATATAAGCCTTTTCTGGTAGACTAGAACTATGCTTATTTTTAAATACAATGAATATAAGCATATTATGTATTACAGAACACTGGCTCAGAGATTATAAATTAGTTACAGGCTTAGATAATAATTATACAGTTGTTGGTAGTTTTTGTAGAAAATCGGCTATCAGGGGAGGCTTTCTCATAATCTTACAGAACTATCTTAAATACAAAGAACGTACAGATATTGTTACACTTTTAGTTGAACGAAATATTGAAATATCTTGTGTGGAACTTGAAGAAATGATCATAATGTGTATATCGGCCCCGATCTGGGAATTACACTCAATTTGAGTCCGCTATAGAAGATTGTATTAATTCTGATCATAGCGGACAATTAGCCTCTATTTAACACCATCATGCTTCAGCCAAACATGACCTAACTTGTAGACCAATTACACAAACGGGTATAAATAAATTTAAAGAGAGTGTTTTTCACAAAATATCGTACTTACCAGTTTGTAATAATAATAATATTTTGTATGAAGATTTATTCAATTTAATTAAAGATGAATTTAATAAAATATTCAAACGCAAACTTATTAAATGCCATAGCTCTAAAAAGAAATTTAGTGATTGGGCCACATCTGGTATTTACAAAAGTAGAAATAAGTTGTATCAATTATATGCTCTCATCAATTATATCATCTCACTACTATTCAAAAACTTTTAAAAAGGTGTGTGCCATTGCAAAAGATAAGTTTTTATCTAAAGAAAATAGTCTTTCCGATAATAAAATAAAGATAACTTGGAATATAATTAATAATGAAACTGGAAGAAATAAATTTAATGAACACACAAATTCTTTAAAATAGATAACAAGATTATTCAGACTGATGCCGTTGCACACTTTTGAAAATTTCTTTTCTAGTGCACCATTTGAAACAACTAGAAATCTTAATTCTTGTTCTAGGTTAGCAATGACCCTCCTTGAGTCAAGTGTTGATAAGTGCAGTAATGTTTTTCATTTTAGACATGTCAGTAGTGATTGTATTACAAAAACTTTTAATTCAATTAATATTAAAAAGACAGAGGATTATTGGGGAATATCAACATATACAATAAAACCGATTATCACTGTCATTGCGCCTCAACTGGCCATTGTATTTAACAAATGAATTGATGAGGGTGTGTTTCCAGATCTAATGAAATGTGCTAGAGTTATTCCTCTGTTTAAGGCTGGTGACTAATCAGACCCCAATAATGAGAAAATAATTTACAACCAATTACTAGCACACTTTTCTATAAATAAGTTATTTCATTTAAAACAGTTTGGTTTCACTAGAGGCAAAAGTACTACTTATGCTGGAACTGCACTTCTCAAACACACTTTTGATATATGGGAGAGAAAGCACGATGCTATTGGCATTTATTGTGACTTATCAAAGGCGTTTGACTGCGTTAGCCATGAAACATTGTTAAATAAAATGAAGCATTATGGTATATCAAATATTTCACTAAGTGTTATACAGTCTTATCTATCTGCTAAGATTCAGAAAGTAGTCATAAATGAAGCTGAGTCTACAAGAGCACCCATTTCTATGGACGTGCCCCAGGGATCAACATTAGGCCCATTGCTTTTCCTCATTTATATCAATGATCTTCCGCATTTTACAAGAGATCTGTGTGAGACAGTGTTATTTGCTGATGATCTCTCTTTAGTATTTAAAACTAGAAGAGGAAATGATTGTTATGACGAAGTAAATTGTGCTCTCTCTGAAGTTCTTCATTGGTTTACGGAAAATAATTTAAAACTTAACTCCAGTAAAACAAAATGCGTTTAATCTACCTAATGTGAGGCAGGTTAATACCAATATAAAAATAAATGACCAGCCTGTAGAGTTAGTTGATTCTACAAAGTTCTGGGTGTTACTTTAGACTCTCGTCTGCAATGAGATTCTCATATTGATGCATTGTCAAGGAGACTGAGCTCTGCAGCTTTCCCTGTACCTGTACCTATCTAATACCGCTTCCTATATACTAAATATAATATTAACTATAATTTTTATTGTAACTATATTTTATTGTTTGTATTCTAAATGATGTTATGGAAGGTGACTTTACACGTATCTCTGAAGTCATTTTTCAACTTTACGACTCTGTATATAACAATACAGGGAGAAAAAAACAGCCCTTGCTGAGTTTCTTGCCGGTTCTTTTCAGTACAAGGTCTCTCGCCGTAGTTTTGCGAACCGATGGCGTAGCTTCTTGACCTTCACAAGTGCTTGTAACAGCCTATACTGAATAAATGACTTTTCATTTCATTTCACTGTGACATGCTAAAGTTGTACGAAAAAATTTTTGGCGATGTTATAAAAGTTTCATTTTAATAACAGCAACGATGTTAGTGCCAACAAATGTCCGGTATGTTGATACGACTTAATAAGCACTACAGTATTTAATCACTTAAATTATATCCTACTGAATATTCAAAGCGCTCCAATTTGAGAGGGAATTCTCTATCCCAAAAGAATCAAAAATATTCTGGAAAAATAATAATTATCTCAATAAGTTACTTTATTTTAATAAAGCTGTCATTTACCACTGGTAGCATGGCTGGCAGTGTAAATATTGATAAATCTATTCTTGAGCACTAGCATATTGTTACAGCGGTTCAAGTGATTGCTAATCTGAAATTCCAACAGGCGGCGGCGCGGCTTTTGGGCCAGATATTTAATTTTCAATGTGGGCTTGTCAAAGTTGTCTCAAACAACAATGTTTTACAAGCTTCATTCCAAAATAATTTATCTTCGTAATAGTGAGGCTGATAGTTTAAGGGTAGCGCGTTATTCCTAATTCTCTAGTTTCTTGAAATTCTACAAGTTTAATTGTCTAACTATGCGGCCTAGGTACTATCATGTAAATGTGAATTTCAGACAAAGATCTTTTGTGGGCACTTTAGGGTACCTACTCTGAATATTTGACAAGGGCAAAGTCAGTGCTTGATCATTTGGAACAACAAAAGAGTATGAAAATAACAGTGGGCTAAGTCCATACAAAATAACTAAAGTACTTGTTAACAACACATTATTATGTTTATGTAACATAACCTTGTAATGAATTTATAACTACGTATATGGTTAAACGAAAATTAATTAACCTATATAGGTATGATTTGTTAATTTGATACACTTTAGGATTATAATATTTCGTACGGTTTGTTTGAGTAACGTTGAAATAACGTTATTATGTGCCTATTTTTACTCACTAACTCGCAAATCATAAAGTGATTTTTATGCTGTAACCAAAATAAGTCTCATTGTTTTTTAGAATTTATTTAGTTAAGTCAAACTGCTTTACTGTGTATACATAAAAGGCAACCGTTACTGATTGATAGATCTGTCGACGAACAGCTCAAACACTGAACGGATTGAGGATTTTTCAAAACTCACTCCCCTAAAAGGGTAATGCGGGGTTTCAAAATTTGTATGGAGCACCAACATCGCAAGGTTAATTGCCTTTACCTATATTGTCTATAAAGAAGTTTAGTAGAGTTTTTTTTATTAACTGAGTTGAACATTCATTAATTCATTCACTATCTAACGCGAGCAAAACAGCCGTCAAAAGCTGTTTCTTTATAAAAGTCTAAATTTAAAAATATGCGTCTTTTATCTCTTCAATTAATGACTATTTAAAGAAGCAGCCACACCAAGGCACTAATTGACTTTTTCTAAACAAGCAATCAGAAATCCGATAGACTGAATCTACTTTTTACAACCTTTGTCACCACTAATTACCTACTCTTTGTTAAACGTTGTTCATCGCGCCCAGACAGCCATTAAACAAAGTGTAACTAACTTCTTAAATATTTTACCGAACTGTAACTGTCAACTACAAAGGTTTTATAACAAAGGAATTAGTAAAAGCTTTTTTTATTGAAAATAGGTAAAATTATTTATTATTAAAAAAAAGAAATTTGCCATTTAGAGACATTTAGTTCAAAATTGGTCAGCTTCCTCATGCAGTTCAACCGTAGTCCACGTGTCGACAGCGAATGAGTGCCCATTGGGCTACTTAGGTGCCGGGTACAACGATATTGAATACCCTAGAATTATAATAATTATAATATAATTCTTCCTTTTAATATTGTATTTTAGTTATTATATAAAATTCAAAAAATTCAAAAAAAAAATCAAAATTCAATATTGTTTATTCAGTCTAGGCTGTTACAAGCACTTGTGAATGTCGAAAAGCTACGCCATCGGTTCGCAAATCTACGGCGGGAGACCTTGTACTGAGAAGAACCGGCAAGAAACTCAGCAAGGGCTGTTTTTTTCTCCCTGTATTATATACAGAGTCGTCAATTTGAAAAATGACTTCAATATGAGATAATTCATGAAGTCACTTTCCATTACAAATGTAAATGATAAAACAATTATGACTATAAAATAAAAAATATAAAAAACAGATCTAAAAATTAAAAAAAGTTTAGGAATGGCGTGTCCTACTGTTTAGGCATAAAAACAAATGTACCATTAAAGTTAAATACAACGATTAGTACCCAATGTAGCAAGAGCAGACTCATCTCCGCTGGCAGCACCCTAGATGCAACAACACGAACAAAATCATGGCCAAAACCTGTCCAAAAGGTACATTGGACGATCCATGGAGCTCCGTAAGATGATCGCGTTGTTAAAACCATTATTTGAACATTGAAAGTCACCTTTAATGCATGCTGTATAAGGTCTTAATCAAAACGCATTTGTATTACCTAATGTCAAACAGGTAAAAACCAATGTAAATACAAAGGATCAAAATATGAGCCTTGTAGATACCACAGTGTTCTTAGGACTTACACTAGATTCAAAGTTGCAATGGGGCCCACTACACCGTTGCAACCAATAATTTACGATATTATTCTTTCCAAAAAATAGCAGTTTTAAGTAATTTTTTTTTTTTTTTGCAGAGTCGCCACTTCCGTTCGACGCAAACATTGCAGGAATAAATGAAATGATGGATTTGTTAACTGATTCTGAGGAAATATTTTAAGTAAATAATGTTTCGCTTATGGAACAAAGTAAGTAAAAGTAAAACTTGCAATAACGTTCTAATACTATAATGTATTACTTTTACTATGTTTTATTTCAGACAAAAAAATATTGTTATAAAATCACATATTTCGTTCTTCTTTTTAGGTCCTGATGATGAGTCTTCAGCGATTATTGAGAACATTGCGCGACATCCTTCGCCACACTGTACAATAAATCATCTAGATTTTGATTTTGATAACCAATTCTGTTCCTGGTTTGTTGAAAAAGATATTTCACCACTACAATCTGTTGATGCAACTTACACTGGTTTGGTTTATGCTGCGCAAGCAAACGTCTTTATCTTTTTTCTCAGAAGCGACACCACAAACTTCTAGGAAAAGAAAGAACAACCCAAGAAAGGACAAGGGAAATATCAGACGCCGTCATGTTACTGAATGGAAAGACTGCAAAAGAAAAATACTAAGAAACTTAGGCAAGGCGTATAAGTGTCGCGACGGTACTGTTAAGAGTGGTAAATCTTTGGGACCTATATGTCATACGAAATGCAGTTTAAAAAGCTAAAATAGTAGTAATGAGGAAAGAATTATAGAGAGGTTTTGGGATTTAGGTAACCGTGAAAGACAATAATCGCTGAAGACTCATCATCAGGACCTAAAAAGAAGAACAAAAAAATTGTGTGTGTCACCTCCGACGCACGACTGGAGTTTACTCCTTAAGTTCGATAGTCTAACCAGACGCAAAAAGAGTTTATTTAACTTAAAAAAGATTGATACTGTATGAAAGGGTAAATTAACAAATTAATGAAAATAATATACATATATAAATATATATTTATTCATTTCATTATACATTTATTGTAACTAATCGACGAAATATTTTACATTAAACTTTTTACAGATGTGCATAAATATATCATTAGGAATGTTGATAAATTATGTAATTATTATTATCAGACTATTATCATTTTTTTAAATATTAATTAAATCAACATTGTCGGCATTATTAATTACAGTGACAAGTGGTTTATGGCAACTAAAATAAGACACATGGACGTTCGTACATACGTGGCTCACGAATATTGAAAATACCGCATCAATGGTTGTACCATACCTCGTTGTCCCCATTGCTCTATCAGAAACAACATCTAAATTCAGTTCAGATTTTAAAAATTTTATTAATGTCAATCCGTCATCTTTGTTTGTCAAAGTTGCGCGACATAGGATGCGCACCAAAAACGTAACGAGGTCATTCATCGATAGATTTTACTCCTCACATTTTTCTCATACCGGGCCCCTTATATATGCAAATCGATTCTTAAGGAGTAAACTCCAAATATGTGATTTTATAACAATATTTTTTGTTGCCTGAAATAAAACATAGTAAAAGTAATACATTATAGTATTAGAACGTTATTGCATGTATTACTATTACTGACTTTGTTTCATAAGCGAAACATAATTTACATCAAATATTTCCTCAGAATCAGTTAACAAATGCATCATTTCATTTATTCCTGCAATGTTTGCGTCGAACGGAAGTGGCGACTCTGCAAAAAAATTAAAAAACACTTAAAACTGCTATTTTTTGGAAAGAAAGACAAGTGAGACGCGGGGCCAATGAAGTTGCTAGTTGCTTATTTAAAAAGTATATAGCTAAATACAAGGATCAAGGCACACGTGAATTTCGGTTTTGGTTGGACTATTGTGTAGGCCAGAACTGAAATCAAATTGTATATGCTATGTACGTATATGCACGCAGCTATTTATTACGTTTCAAGTCACTATTCATCATTGCTTTTTAGAAGTCGGACATACCCAAAGTAAAGGTGACAACGTCCACGCATTAATTGAGAAAACTGCTAAGAATAAGCTTATTTATACACCATTTGAGTGGAATTGTTTAGTTCGTTGGGCTAAACAAACTGGAAAGCCTTACGTTGTCGAAGAATTGCAGTTTACCAACTTTTTTAATTACACAGCTTTATTAAAGGAAAATTGGGTAAAAAGCAGTAATGGGAATAAAGTGCAATGGAATAAAATTAGAGAAGTCCTTGTAAAACCGGAAGATTCCTATAAGTTATTTTATAAGTATGATTTAGCTGCGGATGATTATCATGTTTTATGTGTAAAAGCATCCAGGAGACAATGTGTTTCTAATGTAGAAGCACTTTATGAAACCAATGAAGCCTATTCCCAAGGCAAAAAAAATCACTTTGTGAATATGTGCAAGTCTCAAATCATTTCCAGTACTCACCATGTTTTTTTCCAAAGTTTACCAGAGAGTGACAATTATGTTAATATAGACTCAGGATTCGGATTCTTTTTTTTAAAGTAAAAGCTAATGCAACTTTTTAAGTAACTATGTGATTAGTAATTTTTAAAGACTGAAAAATTAGACTGATAGTTCTTATTGTAAACAAATAGAAAGTAAAATTTGTTTTTTTTTTCTTTGGAAGAGATTTGTTTAATTTTTTGAAATTATATTAGTATTTTTTAAGAAAATTTGCCATTACTTTTAAGTTTTGTGCTGATTGGTCAATGCTCAAATAAAAATTATTACATGTTTTTCGTATCAATCTTGTTTTGTTATTGACATAAGTATATTTTTTCTTACTACATGTTAATTTAACTGACTGATAACTTTTATTCGTTATTTGAATAATTAGCCCTTTGAGAAACCAATGTTGATTTTGAAGGCTGTGACTGCAAAATATAATACTTTTCAGTTTAATTCAAGCTATTTTATTTAAAATTTCCCTTAATATATTGCTTACGAAGCGATATGTCGGTCGATACCGGTAAATGTAGAAAAGCATTCTATCGTAAGTTCACAGATTTTGAAAATCGCTATTGAGATATCGATGTAAGTAATTGTAATTATATCATACGATATTTAATCATTAACACAGTTCAGTGTGAAGTGTGGGAAGTGCATATATACAATAAAATACTACTGATTTTTGAAGTTATACTTCTTTAGGCGCGTTGTGAAAAATTGATGAGAGTGAAATTTTAAGATGCGCGCGCATCATGTAACACTAAATTTTAACACCATGAAGTTGGTCGCTTTAGCGACCAACTTCATGTACCGCGCTGCCATTACCGCGTCGCCCGCCGCACCGTACACATGCGCGGCCACTCGCGGTCCTAGCGCGGGAAACACGTGCAACAAACATCGGGAAAAGTTACGAGTTTTGAATTTAGAACAGAGACTGTTTTCATATCTATATATATAAAAATGAAACCCGTTTTCCGTTGTCACGACATAACATGAAAACGGCTTGACCGATTTGGCTGATTTTTTTTTGTAGTTTTCTAATACTCTGTACAAGGTTCTTACGGAAAAAAATATAAAGAAAATCCCAAGGGGATAAAATAAGGAATGAAAGTTTGTATGAAACTTTATCAATTTTAAACCGATCGGGCTGAGACTTTGCATGCAGGTATAAGAAGAATCATAGATGAATGTCATTGTGTATAATACAAGCCTGAGAACAAAAACTGTAGTCTACACTTCAGCTCTACACCGAAGCGAAGCGAGGGCGGGCCGCTAGTTTATAATATTTATCCACATGTTTCTAGTTTGTATATTCGGAATACGTGTTTGAGTTTCATACAAGTGCAAATCACATATGTTCTAATAAATTATATTCAGTAGCGATTTTAATTGAATATTTTGATTATTTATTTATTCTTTCAAATTAAAACTGAACTTTATTGACTGTGTCCTTTTCCAGACTTTTTATTAATTTATTGTAATTAATTATTTGCATGCAACTAAAAACTAATTTTAAACGATGCCAAAGAAGGATAACTTCTCACGCGCCTACATAAGTACACGCACCCACCCACGATTTTTTCCAATGTAAAAAACCGTATGTGTCTTTTAAAGAAATCCACCAAAAAATTCAAGTAATCTTATCAAAGATTACATTCCAATTATAAATATATAGGCGTCTTCGTGGGAACCAAAAATGTGCATGCGAATCTTAAAATTGCTGTACTGTAAAGTTGATCAAATACACTTACGATATTATACGTAAGAGGTGTCGATATATTATGAATCATGTGTTGACGATACATCTATTGAATTTAAAAGCTGTATTTAAAGTTGATTTCTTAAGGAAGAATATCAGACTATATAAGAAGATTTAAATTGTAATGGTATTTGTCTCCTTCCACTACTCCTCTAGTCTACCTTAGAGCACAGGGGAAACAAAGAAAGAAAACAAAAAATAAAGATAATGTTATAATTATATTTTACCAACTGATATCATAAAGAAAATAGCTTAGTATAAATTTTAAGCATTCCAAAGGCTTATCAGGTAAATAGAGTAGTTTTAAAGTTATAGCTAATATAAATCACTTCCTTCACAGTGAACAAATCATTAAGTTAACATAAAGATGGAGTTGTATAAATACTAGATATTCATAACAAATTAAAATGTACTTACATGAGTTCTTAAACTATATCTTAATATTTTACCTACTCTGCAGTGGACTGTCAATTGAGAGACCACAAAACTAGACTTTTCCAGATAATAAACTATTAGGTGGATATTAGGAGTCCTACGGCTCGTTTGATCGATATTGGTGGTGCTGTATATTATGTTAATTCTTGTTCTTAATGAGACAACCAGTTATATATATGGAAATGGGTAGTCCGGAGTCCAACCTCGCCTCGCGGTGCCTCTGCACCGTTCACCCAAGGTCAGTTAGAGAAATACCTTGATTACTATAGGTTAAGGATTGTATCTGTCCGCAGTTACGGCCGGGTTACATAAGACTGGAGAGTGGCTTGCAACATTTATTGTAATAATCTCACGCGTCCCTCCTGGTCCGTGTATAGAGAGAGTATCTCCTTGTTATTAGCTTGTTCTTCCTCCAGTACTTCTTGAGGAGAACGTAACACCCTGAAGTTTCACATTGAAAAAAATTGTCAGACATTAGGAAAATACATAGATTATTACATTTGCATTACTAGCAGTGGAGGTGAGGGATATTCACTGTTAATGTTTACATTTTGGAATAACTACATGACCCGGAGGTCCATCTTATTGAGTTGAACGAAATTAATTTCATGTGCACTAATTTGACACGAATGATTAGGTATATTTGATGATAATAATCACCATATCATGCATAATGAAAGGCCTGCAAATCAATTAGTGCTAGGAGAATAGAATTGGGGATCAATTGGCGGGTGTGGCGACTTTGCACCGCATAAAAGTTGGTCCATGTCACCATACAGCCAGTGTATATGGACATTCCGTAGGCACTGGCACATTAGAAATTAAGTTTTGATTTCTGTTGAATTTTTAACTGTCATTCTAAAAATAGACTTCAGAAGAAAATTTCGTCCATACGTATGGTATTTTTATAATTGTGAATATTTTCCAAATACAGTGCTGATAAGTTGACGTATCGCCGTTTTATTATTCCATTCCGATAGTGGGGAGCAGCGGCTAAACATTCTCAAACGGGTTTACCGGTTGCAGATGTGAATTTCGTCCATCCACATATCATTCTCCTACTCAGTTCCCCCTATCACAAGATTCTGCCCTGCCTTGCAAGATTCCAGGACTATCTACATACGATACGGAAGACCAATAGAAAGGTTATTTTTCAGAGCCACAACTTGCAAAACAAGTAGAGAAGGAAGTTAAGACACTTTTACCTTTCGGGATGTATTCACATTAATTCACACTTCGGTTAGCGTTCTCGCACTATGTTTGCCAATATCCACTAGGATATAAACTTTTCGGATCTAATTATCCAATTAACGTTTCTAGATCGTCCCTTTTTCAATATACTTTGGGCGGAAAACAAAACGGTGAAAAATCAAGTAAATTTTCAAATCTTGTTTTGAAAACTGAGCATAAAGAAAGATACATCAACTACCAAATCTGTGTCTATGATTTTTTTCTCTCCAAGTAAGGCAAAGGCCACAGTCAAACAGACAGCCGCTGCCTCGGAAACAAGATGTATCAACCCGAAAACATATAACTATGCTCTACTTAAACGGAGGAAAAGAAAATACCTATCTAAATCAACGAGGAAATTTAATTTCGAATAAAATGAAGTTTTTTATATTACCTTGGAAAAGTGCCTGATTGAGGAATCAAATCGATATAAAAAAAAATAATTCAAAATTTAACAATTGGTAAATTCGATCCATCGATCAACACACAACAACTCAAACCCACTGATTTGTCTCTTTTTTTTTTAAGAGAAGTCGATTCTTAAGTCGAATGAAAAAAACAACTACTCATTCAATGTTGGTAAACCCAACCAATGAAGTTTGACAGCTACATTGACATAAAAGGTTCGCTATCATAGACAAAACAGCTGTCCTACGTGTGTTCAGTAATATGAATGTCAGTGTCACGCCCTGCTCAAAAACAAACATTACAAAAATGATAAAACGGCGTGGTCATGATTTCTCCATCGTTTTTGCTTTGTAATTGTTTGCAGTGTCCTACAAATAAATTACTTTAATTTTAAGTAAATATGTTGTGGTTGATATACGTGGTTATGGATAGTCATGCTCTTTTAAAAGTCTCTTCGGTGGTGTCGTGTGAGGCGGGTCGTTACGTTCCTATTTATAAAATAATATGGTTTAGCGAAGCGATGGCTAGTTCATGCGTCATGCTTGTGAACGGGTGCTGCCACCGCAGATGAGTTTGCCCTAACTACTTTGATATTTAAGATGTAAATGTTCAGTTACACCTATTATAAATAAATCTATTTGTATTTATACTGTGTGATCAAATCAAAATGCAGGTGAACAATTAATGTATAATTTCACATTATGAAATAAAGGTGACTTCATGAATCATCTCTCGTCATTTTTCAACTTGCAGACCCTGTAAATGATAAAACAGGGAGAAAAAGAAATTCAGCCCTTGCTGAATTTCTTGCCGGTTCCTCTCAGTACAAGGTAGATTCACGAACTGATGACGTAGCTTCTAGACATTCATATTACGTCCTTGTAACAGCCTAAACTGAATAAATGATTTTGATTGATTGATTGAATGCAAGCTCGTAAAATTTTAAGACTTATTGCTATATGCGGAAGAATATATTATACCTTATTTCTTTAACTCTACGCGCAATTCTGAATGCGCTGTTAGCAATATAGTAGGTACGGACCGCGAGGAAAAGAGGCGGCTATATAACCGCCCATGCATTTGAATATTACAAATATTTTCTATTAAATCAGTTTATAGTAAGTTTTTAAACAAACTTTTCTTCAAATGCGTTAAATTAACAAACCTGCCGAAAAAACACACTTTACGTAGTGTTAGTATTTTTTCGCATTTTTTCACAAAGTTC